AGAGCAGAACTACAACATCCCACAATAGACTGGTGTTGATGGAGCTTACCTGTTTGGAAGGATGTAACACTTACCTGTTTGGAAGGACGTAATGCCTTCTGTTGACTATCATCCCTCCACACTAATTAATGTATGTCTCTCCTGTCTGGTGATTGACAGAGTCACAGAGGCTCACAACGCAACCACTCAAACCACACCTTACAGTAAGGGATACTGATGTTATAAATGAGATTAATGCATGCAGCAACTCACAAGCATTCAATAAAGACTTAACACATTATTATAATGCTGATATCTATTTAACAATACTGACAACCAGGTGAGCCAGACTGATTCCAGCTATGTATTTGTCCGGGGCTGGAGCACCCATGGGGAAAAATTGGTGGGTGCTCTGCACCCACCGGCAGCCAAGCCCACCCCCTTAGCCCCAACTCACCTCACCTCTGCCTCCTCCCCTGAGCGCGCCGTGTCCCAGCTTCTCCTCCCAGCGCTTGCTGCTGCGAAACAGCTGTTTTGCGGCATAACAAGCTCTGGGAGGGATGGGGGAGGAGCGGGGACACGGCGCGGTCAGGGGAGGAGGCGGGTCCGGGGTGGGGATTTGGGGAAGGGGTTGGAATGGGGCAGAGAGGGGGCGGAATTGGGATGGGTACTTAAGGGAAGGGGTTGGAATGAGGGCGGGGAAGGGTCGGGGTGGAGTCAGGGCGGGGCTGGGTCGAGCACCCACCAGCGCCAGCAGAAGTCAGTGCCTGTGCTTGTGGACTCCTCTGTGCTAACCACAAATGCTTTTGTTTTGCTTGTAACCTTTAAGTTGGACCTCAAGAAGGTCATTCTTGATGCTGAATTTTTGTAAGTAGGTTTTTAAATCTAGCAATAGCCTGAGTTTTCAATATATTTTTTTTCTTTTTGTTTTCAATAAAAGTTATTTTTTTTAAGAACAGGATTGAATTTTGTGTCCTAAGAGGTTTGTGCACATGTTGTTTAATTAGCTGGTGGCAACAGCTGATTGCCTTTGTTTTCTTTCTCAGCTCCTCCCTGGAAGGGGGGGGTGAAAGGGCTTGAAGGTACTCCACAGGAAAGAATTCCCAAGTACACCTTCCTGGGTTCTCAAAGGGGTTTTTGCACTTGGGTGGTGGCAGCATCTATCCATCCAAGCTCAGAGAAAAGCTGTAACCTTGGGAGTTTAAGACAAGCATGGAGTAGCCAGTATTAATTTTTAGAATCCTTGCGGGCGCCCATCTTCTGCACTCAAAGTGCCAGAGTGGGGAATCAGCCTTAACAGTTGTAGATTCCCCATTAGCTGCACAGCTCATGGGCATGGTCTGTGTGGGAACTTCTTACCTAGGATGGCATCTGCCTCCAAGCTCTCCCATTTCCTCCTGGTACTGACTCCTGGCAAGTGGGCTCTGGATTCTCCCTCCCGCTGCCTCTTCCATGGTCACTTCTGCTGCTCTTGGCTAGGGGGAAGTCAGAATTAAGATTCCTACTTAGCTTCCCTTCCCAGGCTTGGGAATAAGGAAACTGTAGACCTCAGGACTATCTCCTCAGGCCTGGGAATGGGAGGAAGAGAAGACTGGAAACAACCCCCTCTCCCTGAGCCCTGAATAGTGGGAAGAGATTGAAGATCCTTGTGACCATCCCCTATGGCTGAGGGGGAGTAGACCTCTGCAGACCCCCCCCTTCCTAAACCTGAAAAAAGGAAGGCCGAGATGAAAATCTAGATATCCTTACCTACCTCCCAAGCAGAGGGCCTCCTGCTGCTCAAGTGAGCAGCAGCAGCAGGGCCCATCTTGGCTTGAGGAACAGAAGCCATTGATTTGGGGGTTGAAGGCACTGCATGATTTTTGGATGGGGAGATAGCAGTAGTATATGGTTGAGAGGAGGAGACAGAGACTGCAGTTATTGATTTGGGTGAGGAGGAGGAATAATGGGGGAGAGAGAGAGAGGGACAGAGAGAATGTGAGATAGGAAAGAAGGGGAGAAGAAGAGAGAATTGGGAACTAGATTGGGAGAGAGTGTAAAAAGAGTGAGTGAATGACTGAGATGGAGTGAATAAGAATGGAAGATGGATTGAGAGAGAGAGTGAATGACAATAGCTGGATGGAATTTGTGGAATGAGACTGAAGGAGATGGAATGAGAAGAATAACAAAGCGAATGAGGATGAAGGGACTACACTCATAAGTATTAAACTTGAACTCAGCATGTCATTCTGCATGCATTTAAAAACAAAAGTCAGAGGGAAAACCAAGGTAGACTCCCTCATGTTTTGATATAATTAGCTAGTTTCATGTTGGCATCATGCTGGGGGTGGGTCTCCAGGAGAGCTGTAGATATGGAGAGTTACACAGGGTAGCTGGCCTTTAAGGGCAGATGGGCCCCAATCCAACTGCGACAAGCCTAATTTGCCTCCCCAGGTGGGAAAATGATTTTGGTCATGTGACTAACTCAGTCCATGCCTAGATCTGAGGGGTCTGAGCTGCTGCACACAGCCCCAGGAAGGAAGGACTGTGAGACCCTAGCCTTCAAGGGTGACTCACAGCTCAGGAAGCCAGAACTTTAAAGCCACAGTCCCAAGCCAGAGGACTTTTAAACCTGAGGGGTGGGCAGAAAGGAATCTTTGTAGGAGATGAATGATACTGAATTAGACCCCAGGAGAAGGGGAATATTGTTTCAAAGACTGACTGTGACCACATTATTCTGGGGAAACTGAGGCAGGTGCCTGCAGGGTCACTCCAGGCCACAAGGGGGTGTCGTTTACAGAGAAGCATAATCTTGTGAACCAGCTCAGGGAAGGTGTTCCATCTGTAAGGATCAAATAGTGTGGTGAGTCTGGCATCACTGTTGAAACTGAGGATGTGAGGAAGTGTCATGGAATAAGACCAGGGCAGAAAGGTGTGAATGGGGCTTGTGAGGATTTGGCAGAGATATGAAAGACTTGAATTATGGAGTTGCACAAATCACATAACAAGACAGCCCACTGCTCCAAGGCTAGAAGACACAGAGAGTATGTCTACACAGCAAAGAAAAACCCGGAGCTGGTCGGGCTAGGGCTGCAGGGCTGTTTCATTGCTGTGCAGAGTTCTAGACTCAGGCTGGAGCCTGGCTCTTGGGCCCTGCAAAGTGGGGTGTCATTTCAGCAAACTAAATCATCAATAACACATTAGTAGCAAGTTGCCTTATTTTTGGATGTTGGTCTCCTGGCCTCTCCCATTACTATACTTAAAACTTATGGGATCTTGAAAGATGGGCTTAATTTACATACACACAATTAAACTCCAGGAAGATGACTGCTCTTCATATCGCATCTCTCCTATGCCTGCTACCATTTGCTATGCCCCATACCATCTGGGCACCCTAGATGTGTGTATAAGACCACGTGCGAAGGTGATTGCCTCATGCAATCTGTGGCTCTCTCTCTGTCAGACTGGCATGATCCACCCTTGACCACGGAGTCCTGCACCCCGTATCGTCTAGGGCTATACTCTGCCCCATCAGCACTCCTGTCTTTCTTGCTCTGTGCCTGCTGCTACCTGTGTGCAGAGGCGGTCAAAAAAGCAAACAGGATGTTAGGAATCATTAAAAAGGGGATAGAGAATAAGACTGAGAATATATTATTGCCCTTATATAAATCGATGGTACACCCTCATCTCGAATACTGCGTACAGATGTGGTCTCCTCATCTCAAAAAAGATATACTGGCACTAGAAAAGGTTCAGAAAAGGGCAACTAAAATGATTAAGGGTTTGGAACGGGTCCCATATGAGGAGAGATTAAAGAGGCTAGGACTCTTCAGCTTGGAAAAGAGGAGACTAAGGGGGGATATGATAGAGGTATATAAAATCATGAGTGATGTGGAGAAAGTGGATAAGGAAAAGTTATTTACTTATTCCCATAATACAAGAACTAGGGGTCATCAAATGAAATTAATAGGCAGCAGGTTTAAAACAAATAAAAGGAAGTTCTTCTTCACGCAGCGCACAGTCAACTTGTGGAACTCCTTACCTGAGGAGGTTGTGAAGGCTAGGACTATAACAGAGTTTAA